CATCTAAGGACCAATTGTCAGTGGTATAAATTCTTTGATAAGGTAATTAGAATATTGTCTTCAGAACCCAGAAAACCAAAAACACCTGCTAGAAGCCCACAATCTCTTTTTCGATTGTAACGACACACCGGACATTAACAAAAAAAACCCAAATGCTTCTACTTCTAAAGCCCTAACAACGGACAGAAACAAACTTCGACTACTATTACTCTACAAATATGACCTTAACCTTCAAAAAGACAAAATCGCAGTTCTATTCCCTAGGTAACAAAGCAAACTCACTCCTCATAAAAATAATTAAACAAAGACGGCTCAAACCCAAGATCACCCTAATTCACCACCCCACCACTCGCGTCTCGCTCACGAACCCACAAGACATAGCCAACGCTTTTGCAAACTATTACCAATCCCTATATAATATTAAAGATGATCCAGACACAACACAACCGACGACCACATCCATCCTTAACTTCCTAGCAACCGCTAATCTCCCCCAACTCACCCCTCTTAATAAATCTCCGGGAAACAATGGATTTACGAATGAATACTACAAAATATTTGCCCCTAATCTTGCACCACACTTATCTGTTCTCTTCAACCAAGCAGCCTCCACATGACAATTCCCCAAAGACATGCTAAAATCTATAATTACAACCATCCCCAAACCCGGTAAAAACCCCCAAATGGTCCAAAATTACAGACCAATTTCGCTATTGAACACGGACATCAAACTATACACTAAAATAATTGCCCAGAGACTACTTCCTCATCTCCCTACGTTAATTCACCCAAACCAAGTGGGATTTATTCCTGGTCGACAGGCTCCAGATGCAACCAGACAAATTATATCACTTTTACATAACCTTGAGAGCTCCAGACAACCTTCCTTACTACTATCCCTAGATGCTGAAAAATCATTTGACCACATACATTGGCAATTCATAAAACTCACACTTCAAAAATTTGGTATCACAGACTGGATGCTATCGGCAATTCTATCCCTTTACTCCAACCCCTCAGCTAGAGTACTAACTAACAGCACCCTCTCCCAATCCTTCAATATATCCAATGGCACTAGACAAGGCTGCCCACTATCTCCCATAATCTTTTCTTTACTCATCGAACCCCTAGCATCCAAGCTCAGAGATGACCCAATATTTACAGGTATTACACACCTCAAAAATGAACACAAAATCAGCCTGTTTGCGGACGACATCATCCTGATGATTACCAACCCCTACAAATCACTCCAAGCGATTCGCACACATCTAAGCAACTACTCAGAAGTCTCATATTATAAACTCAATGAGCCCAAGTCCTCTATACTAAATCTATATACTTCAGAAAAGACTCAAAAACTACTAATCAAACATTTCCCCTTCTCATGGGAATACCATAGCATCCCTTACCTGGGGATCAAACTTACTACTACAACCGACCAACTATATACTTCTAACCATAAAACATTACTCGACTCCATCCCACAAGAACTCAAAACTCTTCGCACATCAACTCTATCGACACTAGGGAGAGTGGCGACTTTAAAAATGTGTATCTTACCCAAGATCCTCTACATATTCTGCACTCTTCCCATCCCAGTTCCCAATATATTCTTTTCCAAATTACAAGCAATCTTTGCCAAATTCATGTGGAACTCGAAAAAGCCCAGATGCACTACAAACCTATTAATATGTCCAACTTATAGAGGAGGAGTAGGCCTCCCTCATTTAAAATTGTACTACACTGCTTCGTTGCTAAATCAGATCTATTTCTGGTGGCATCCAACTACCGAAAAGTCATGGACTACCATGGAAATGCTCCCACACTCTGTGCCTACACCCGAAAGAATGCTATCCCTTCCTCAAACCACTCAACACCAACTTATACTTAAACATCCTTGCATACAAGCCTCCCTCCAAGTCTGGTATGATCTTTTAGCATTTGACCAAACGATCACCAAACTAACCCCTACCCCAATTACAACTCTGTACTTCATTATTCCCTCCCTAAATCTACGACAATAGGAGAAACAAGGCGTTTCATACATTCGAGACATCTATACAAACAATAAATTACATTCCTTCTCAATCCTCCAAGAAAAATTCCATCTCCCCAGCACTGAATCCTACACATACATGCGAATAGCGCACTCCTTACAACTACTAAATATTCCGCATACAATAGCAATCCCTACTACTACACTCAACTTCCTACAAAAACCACATTACCCCAAAAAAGGAATTTCAACCTTTTATTTACTTATAACTAACGCCAAGTTTATTTTATGAACTACTTCTCTATCCAACTGGGAAACAACTTTCACACTACCAATACAACCTCACACATGAGAAAGAACCTTTACTATCACCCATAAATCTTCCAGATGTAGTTCCCACTGAGAATCTTACATGAAAATTCTACACCAATGGTACCTAACTCTCTATATATTACTCTCAACACTCTCCCAATTGTTGGAGACAATGTGGAAAAATAGGTTCAATTTTACACATAATGTGGACATGTAAATCTCTCAAATCCTGCTGGAACAAAGTGTTTCAATTGATTTCCTCAATCACTGGAACCCCAATGATACCAAACCCAGCTCTCGCACTCCTACATATAGGGATCGACAAACTCCCTGCAGATTCTCGCACCATCATCATATACATATTAGCAGCTGCCAAAACCAACATCGCTAAATTATGGAAATCATCCAAAACTCCTTCTCTCTCTGACCTCCTTACTCACCTTAACTTTCAATGCGAGATGGAAAAAAGATCAGCACTCCACAAATCCTCTTATCAAAAATTTAAATACCAATGGTCTCCATGGCTACAGAACCCCAACTGTACTATGAATTGATATCCATATAACCATATTGTGCAAAAACCTTTGCAATTGACTGGTGTTTAGTTTTCCAAACACCCTCCCCCCTCCCCCCCCCCCCCCCACCCCTCTCCTATTCCTTATCCATTCTATACACAGTACCTCACCTAACCCTGGTTCATACCACGTTAAGCATACCTCTCAGTTAAGCGAAACCTCTGTTTATGTTTTCCCTAGCCAATTGGTAGGGAATCTACTGCATATATACCTTGCTGTACTTAATGTGAACCGCATTGCCGTACCATATCTTGTTTTGATAAAATTATTTCAATAAAAATATTTGAAATAGAATATTGTCTTCATTAGTATCTCAGAGATGCGAGACATCTACTCTAATTTATTGAAGTTAAGCATGAGAATGATTTTATATTAGTCTTAGCAGATTTATATTTCTTTTATCCCAGCATTCAGCATGATGAGGGGTTGGAAGCAGTGAAAGATGCTTTTGAAAGGGAGTAAAATATATCCCTTAACCATATACCACGTAAAGAGAAAGAAAACATTGTAGAATGTCGGGAGTTCTGTTTCAAACTTTTTTTTTATTAAAATGTCTACAACAATTTATTTTTCCTGTAAAAAGTAGGGACTGTGATGGGAGCTAAATTTTCACCTAGCCTCACTAACATCTACTGTATATGAATAGTTGGGGAGAAAATTTTTTTCCCAATTTTTGGAATTATTCTGGGTGTAAGACTGACTGTCAGGAAAACACTGGCCATAGTACAGATGAAGGCTCAAGGTGGATACAGATGTGCAGGCCTGCGGATGCTTGTTTGGCTATGCATGGATGTGCACATATTTGCAGGCACATGCAAATGCACTGGCTTCTGCGAACCCACCACTAACACTGGTGCCAAATGGACTATTTAAGTGCAGTTGTACTAGTCAGTGCTGTCTGATCTATAGCCCTGCCTGTGTTACTGCATCTGTTTCTGTGTTTGACGTCTGTGATAGAAGGCTGGCTTGCCCTGACCAAGCTTGAACGTTACCTTCCCTTACCTTGGCTTGTCTCTGGATGCTCTTTTACCTCCTGCTCATCTGCCTGCTCTAGTGTTGTTGACTTTTGCTTGTACATTGACCACTCTCCTGCCTGCTGTCCATGCTTGTACCAGACAATATGTTGCTGACCTGGCTTGTCTGACTACGTATTCAGTTATTCATCTGCTCAGCTCTACATGCTACTTACCTGGTCCTTGCTCATCCTTCACCTGCCACATGCTACCAGCCTCTTCTGCACCTGTGACCGGTCATCTGCCAGCCAAGCAACTGCTCACCTGCTGTTTGGGCCATCTAACCCATCTCTGGCGAAGCACCTGCTACTTACTTATACTGTAGACTGGACATCTTACAGGCACGTGTACCTCGCAATGCTCTTGTGGCCACTCTCTCATCACCAGTGGCCATTGAGTCAAAACTGTAAGATAGGCCTCCCTTTACACTTCAGACTCTGCCATAAGGTACTTGTCGTTGACATTCCAATGAAGTAAGAAAGAAATACATTTTTGGATCTTCATATTTCTGTACAGGGTAACAAATTCTCCACTAAAACTTTCAGTACAGACTGAAATTCTTATATTCCCCATATAAACAATTGAGTACTGACGTGATACTTTTTTTATTTGCACTAACATACAATTTTGAGGACAAGCTTTCGGGGAATGTCCCCTTCCTCAGGTCTAAGCAGTACTGAAACAAAGATTTAGCAGAATGTTGGAAGAGATGTAGGGGATGGGAAAAAAAAAAAGCAGAAAGAAACACAAGCCTAGGGTTAGCCTAGAGATAAGACACAACAAAGCAAAAGCAAAGACTGGGGGGGGGGGGGGGGGGGGTAGCACAACACTCACAGAGGGAGTCTTAAAAATGTTGGATAATGATTGAGGAATCCCATGTCCAAATTAAGGCCCCATATCTCTTGTGTCAAATAGAATTATCATTCTTAGTTCAAAAGTTTTTCTTTCCTGAATGGATTTGAAATTTCCTTTAAGAACTAAAACATTGAGGTCTTCCATAATGTGGTCTGGTTGTGCGAAATGGTGTCCCACAGGTGTGCAAAAGTCATCTTCTTTATGTTCCTTGATGGCATGTCTGTGCAAATTCATCCTTGTTTGCAACTTCTGTCCTGTTTTGCCAACATAAGATCCTTTGCTACACTTTCTGCACTGGATAAGGTACACAACATTACTGGAGGTGCAGCTGTATGATCCGGAGATATTGAAGATCCCTTTTGAGTGTGTGACACTTTTTGATGGATTGATTTGGTTGCACAGTTTGCAGCGTTTTTTATTGCAGGGTTTGCTTCCATTATTTGTGACCTCATAATCAGAAGGAAGTTTCCTACTGATGTATACTGATGTATACTGTGGTGTCTAGGAAGTTGACGTGTGTGTTTGAGTATTCCATTTTCAGTTTGATTGATGGATGAAAAGTGTTGATCAAGGAGTAAAATTGTGTTAGGTTTTCTTCACCTTCTGTCCTTATGATGAAAATATCATCAATATAGCGATAGTATCTCTATGCTTTTTGTTCCATGCTGTTCAGGAATTGTTCCTCCAGGTCAGCCATAAATAAATTGGTATATTGGGGTGCCTTTTTACTTCCCATCGCAGTACCCATACATTGAAGATAGATGTCTTTATTGAAGGCAAAGTAGTTGTGTATAAGTATGAATTCAATGAGCTGTGTAACATCCTCAGCAGTGTATTTATGGTTTGGTGAGGATGACAAGGATCTGTGACATGCAGCTAATCCATCCTTATGAGGGATATTACTATACAGGGATACTACATCCATAGTCACTAGAGGTGTATTAGATGGTAATTGCTGTATGTTGTTGAGCTTGTTCAGAAAGTCAGTTGTGTCTTGCAGGAAACTAGCAGTATTCTTGACTAACGGTTTTAAAAAATTTTCTACAAAGCCTGAGATTTGTTCGTTGAGTGTATTCATACCTGTTATGATGGGTCTGCCTGGATTTCCTGGCTTGTGGACTTTGGATAGCATGTAGAAGTCCCCGATTTCTGGATGATCCGGAATCGCATTTATAAGTTCTGAATGTAGGTGGGCTGGAAGTGTTTTAATGAGGCCTTTTAATTGCTTTGTAAAGTCCTGGGTCGGATCATAATCCAGTTTTTTATAGTAGATGGCATTTTCCAGCTGTCTCTGGCCTTCTTGTATGTATTTGTTTGTATCCATCGCAAAACAACTGCTCCCTCTTTATCCACTGGTTTAATGGTGATGGCCTGATTATTGCGGAAATCGTGTATAGCCCTTCGCTCTAGTGGTGAAAGATTGTACAGAATTTTCTTTTGCTGGGTGGATATCAGGGATGTAGCTCGCAGTCTGAAGCTATCAATATAGGTGTCCAGTTCGGGGTTGCGTCTTTGTGGGGGTGTGAAGCAGCTGTTCTTTTTCTTTGTGTAGCACTCCATTGTCCTAGGATTCCTTTCATTACTGTGGAAATATTCTTTGAGCCTTAGTCTCCTGAAGAAATCCTCCATATCTGACAATACTTGTAAATGATCCAATTTGGTGGTTGGGCAGAATGTAAGGCCTTTGTATAGGATGGTTAATTCTGGTTCAGAAAGTTTATGATTTGACAAGTTGATGATTCCACGTTCCTCTGTTATATCCACATTTTCAGTTAGGTCAGCATTTACACAAGGGATACCTTTGGATTCCGGCTTGGATTCCAGGTCACTGACGGTAGGAGGTATAGATGTTGGGTTGCTTTTATGTTTAGGTTGTATCCAAAAGGTCTGCTCTTGGTGTAGCTTCTGAAGTTTTTTTTGCTTCCCATTCATTGCAAGTTTTTGTTTTTGTCTTTGTAGAGTTTCCAATTCATTCTTGATTTGGTTAAAATTGGTAGGGTCCAATGATGTTAGGGTTTCAAACAATGATTGCTTTTGTATCCTGATAGTTACCCTTTTTCCATACAGTTTGTGAATGAGGTTATTCCTTAATCTCTCACTGGTGCGTCTGCAAAGTCCTTCTGCCTAAGGAGAGTTGATTGTATTTACGCAAGGATTTTTAATCCGGAGGCCTTGTGGTATGAGATTCCTCTTTTTGCATCTTGAGAGAAAGAAGATATCACTGTTGATCTGTGTTTCCTTTGTGATTAGGTTGATTAACTGCTTCTTTATGCGGCTATATGCAGTATCTTCCATTTTGCTTGAGGTGATTGTAGCCACATTAGTGCACTTGCGACAGAAACAATTGAGTACTGACGTGATACTTGTTTTATTTGCACTAACATACAATTAAAAGTCCTCAAAATTGTATGTTAGTGCACATAAAAAAAGTATCACGTCAGTACTCAATTGTTTCTGTCGCAAGTGCACTAATACGGTTACAATCACCTCAAGCAAAATGGAATATATTCACATATCAAATTGCAATGGTTGGCAAAACATTCCAAGAGGTAAATTAATAAAGCTAAATTGGAATTGTGCTGTGACAGTTCTGTTTGTGCAACAAAGTAAATATTGAGAGTAAAATTTGCATGTAAAGGGGTACAGGAAAGATATTTTAGATAAGGAAATGTTAAGGAGTTGATTTACTAAAGGCAAACAGGCTGTTCTGTTTGCAAGGTATTTTCCCTTAGCTTAGTGATTGTGGTGAAAATCCACTTTGCAAAGAATACTACTATAATCACATGCAGGACCAATAAACAAAGCAGTATTTTTGTTTGCACATGATTGGATGTGGGAAGTCAGCAAAGCTCCACCTTATTCACTAAGCTAAGGGAAAATTTCCTTTGCAAAGTGAACAGCCTATTTACATTTAGTAAATTAACCCCAAAGAGTCAATAATATTGCAAGAAGTGAATCGATTAAATGGCAGAGATGATATGAACACTAAAAGAGATTTTAGTTTTGTAAAAGCAAAACTTTGCACACAAAGCTAAAGACTGTGTACTCCAAAACAGAAAAACACAGTGAAAAAAATCCCTAAATGGTACAATCATACAGCATTGCACTATAGATAATACAATATTAAAAGAAAGTTACTTAATATATCACATCTATTTATGTAAAGGGATAAAAAGATTAATGTGAAAAAATAGTGCAAAAATACAAAGTCCAAGAACAGTGCAATATTTTTTTGTATAAGGTGCTTAAGCAATAAGTGCAATGAACAGTGAAAAAAAGTAAACTTGCAAAACCATCCATACTCCCTTGTGTAGACATTATCCTTAAGAGGTATTCTCCATGTGGACCCTTCACCTACCCTCCTGAAAGTGCTGTCACATTTAATATCTGACCCTTATCACAAACGTGAGATAGCATATTCCTTTAAACTAAATACCAGGTATTCAGACTCCTTATCAAACACTTCTGGCAGGGATGGGTATCTCTCAACTCTCAGCTTGTAAACAAAGGATTAGTGGGTGGAAAAGGCCAAGTTCAGCCTTTCACATAAACCAGGCTCAAAAAAGACAAAATAAAGACTATATAGAGCACACTGTTGCATTTATTATTAAAAACGATCACAGATATATTGCACTGCATATCCCCCAATAGTCACTTGGCTAAAATACAAAATGCCAAATTGCTGAGTAAACTCATGTGCAATCCTAGTCACAGAACACCAGCCAACAGCTGCAATCCTCCTGCACACAGCCACAGCATTCCACTGAGATTGCAAAGCTCCACCCTACTGGTTTTGTCACAATGACTTCAGATTGCCCCCAGTTCTGATTATATAGCTGACTACCATTTAATAAGCCCCTCTGCCTACTGGCTGTGTGAAAATTTACCCCTTAGAGTTAAATTATCTGCTATAGATACATTCATCAGTCAGTCAACAATACAATGTATTGTGATTACGTTACACATTTAAAATTCTTCTCTCCTCGTAAAATCCCAAACAACTGTTTTAATGAGACCCAAATGTTAATATCAGTCTGCCATAAACTGTCTACAGATGGTATTCCCACTTGAGTTGAACTTAAAAAAAAAAAAAAAGTACACATCTCTCCATCTACCTTCCTTTATTAGGCCCTTATGGAATGGATAATTTCTACCTCACTCCTATTTGTAAAAGATACGTTATAAAAAAAAAAAAATTGGTGGAAAGTATCCATTCTAGAATGGCCTAATAGGGGAAGTTTGATGTGAGAGATGTGTACATTAGGTACATAGTTGGTAAGGTTGAATAAAGACATCAGTCCAACCTGTGTGGACATGTGTATGCATTTATGTTTCGAACACTTCCCATATCCCTGTATATTGATTTCGCTTGATTATAAGATGCCTGTCTAAAACTTTTTTGAAATTGTTGACACTTTCCACAGTCACCACCAATTGTTGATGGGTCTTCCACATCCTTAACGTTCTAACAGTAAAGAACACCTTATTCAGTTTAAGGTTAAACTACTTCTAGTCCAACTTCATTGAGTGACCATGTGTCCTCTTGAACATCCTATGCTTTTCTCCCTATGCTAGAATCACCATTTGGATTATAATTGCAGTCATATATCTTCTTAAGTGTCTGGTCTCCAGAGAAAATAAGCTTAATGTGTGTACCCTTTCCTCATAACTGAGGTCCTCCAGCTCCTCTAATTAATTTAGTTGCCATTCTCTGGACTCTTTCCGATTCTAGCACATCATTCCTAAGAACTGGTAACCAGAACTAAGCATACTCAAGATGCAGCCAAACCAGAGTTTTGTAGAGTGGTAGAACTATAGATTTATCTCTTGAGTATATCCCCTTTTTAATGCATGCTAATAGTCTGCTGGCCTTGCTTGCTGCAGGTTAGCATTGCATGCTATTGCTGCGCCTATCATCAACTAGGACCCCCAAAATCCTTTTCCATCCTTGATTCACCAGAGATTGTCCCCCTAGAGAGTAGCCTGCATTCATATTTTTAGCCCTCAAACGCATCACTTTACATTTCTCTACATTGAACCTCAATTGCCATGTAGTTGCCCATCCCTCTATTTTATTTAGGTCTACTTGTAAAGTTTAAATTTTTTATTTTAGCTTTTTTTTAGTATCAGTCCACCCAGTTTATGGTAGACTGATATTAACATTTGGGCCCCATAAACCCAGTTGTTTGTGATTTTAGGAAGAGAGAAGAAATTTGTACCCAGTTTAGTGGACTGATATTATTATTTGGGTCCCAGAAATTTCTAATGTGTAATTGATCAGAAATGGTGGCTTTGTAAATAGGATTTTATCTTTCTGAAATAGAGGTGTTTTTTTATACCCGCATAAGGAGAATGCTGTCATGCTTATGTTTTTGTAAGGAAAGTGGTGGCCCAGACCTGAGGGTTGAACAGCAGTAAAAGCAGCATCTGCCTAAGGGTGGAAGGAAGTTTGAGGAAAGGAGGAGATTGCAACATGGAACAGCCCTGTAAGAGACAGGGTT